AAGAAAATTTACATACTAATACAATATTTTTGGGGTTTGGTGAGCTCATATAAGTTTGAAAAAACTATAATCTCAAACGTATTCAATTTACATTAAAACGCTTACATTCAATCTAAGTGTCATGAATATTAAATTTTAAATCTATATAGGAGATATATCATTTGATCTTTTTTATTATTAATTTAATTTTTCCTCGGTATTATAAAAAATTATAACTTTTTATTTTCAAATATTCTAATCTCGCGTTTGAAGCGGGACAAAATCTAGCACGCCAGCAAACGAGAAACTGCCCATCTTGTACCAAGCAAAATGACCTCTTTAACATCCAAAACGTACGTTCAAAGCATTAACAAAATGAACTCTTTTAACTTCCAAGTGTAGGTTCGAAGCACATAAAAGCATGACCAAACTCTATAACTTTTTTTTGTGTGGCGTATGATAAATGTTATATTCAATTATGTCATCTGCATTAAAAACAAAATTTCAACAATTGAACTTGGTATTTATTTCTGCAATCTGATTTCTAAAAAAGGTATTAGTACTAAATAAACACTTTAGCCATTCTTTTCTTCAACAAATATTTATACAACAGATGTGGTCAAGTATTAATCTTCCGGAGTAAGCTTGAATATGGACACCTCTTCTCTTTACACTTTGTGTTATCATCTCTGTTGAGTCAAAGCAATACTGTACATCGGTTTCATTCTTAACAGCTTCCACCCGTTACCTCGGAATGTCGCCTTCATAGTCATCGTCACCTATGTAACGCTGGTGTTCTACAGACCGGTTTCTCAGTCTCTGAAATATCTCCTCCAGTGAACTCGGCATTCTCGGGTTGCTTGTTGCTTCTGTTATCTGCCTTAGTGGTAAGTAATTTTTGGTTGTTGCATTCTCTTTAAAGCTTTGGAGTCCTAGTTTCATGTTCCGCCATGTTGAGGCCAAACCAGAAGAGGAAGAAGATGACTCTCTTCCAAAGTTCTCTGGCTCCAGTAACGACACTTTAGCTGAGACCATGTTCTCTGTTAGCTCTTGTTTCTTCTTATTCTGTTCCCTCATAGCTGCGTATTTGTTAGTAATTGCTTCTCTGCCAGTTCCGTATCTTCGAGCAATCTCACTCCTGCCGGTTTCTGCATCATAGCTGCTCGACGTATTCATCTCAACACAAGATTCATCCTGCAGATCAAAGTTTTTACTTAAGCTCACAATAGATGTATGGAAGCGACCAGAGACATGGGAAGATGCTTATAATTGCCATGTACACTTACAGAGAAGTTGCTTCCTGTTTCAACATCAACATCGTTAAAATTCCTAGCCAGTGGAAGAACATGCTCGCCAATTCTTTGCCCTTCTTCAAGCCACATTCGTTCTAATCATAAAGTATGCTAAGTTAAAACAAAAGTTCATAAAGACAGAGAGAAACGTAGTGATGATCGCTATGATTTACCTTTTTTAAGAATCATTAATCCGGATGGATCAAACCCATCCATCTCATCATCGTCCTCAGTTTGAAATCTCAATCTTTTCCAGTTACCAAAGTAAGCAACTATACGATCAAAGAAGTTGCTCGCAACCAGCAAGGTGTAGATAACCATTACAAGAGGATATATGTCATTGAATCGTTGCCCAAAGATCGGAACAACCTCATCAATTTTACCCATTTTCTGCAATACCAAAGTAATAACATAGCAAAGCAGGACACATCGAATTAATGTGTGCCACAAAAAAGGAGCAGCACTGAGAGTGACTCAATTTGATAATGTAACCAAGATCTACACAAGGAGAGAACAAGTACCTTCTCAAAAATCGTTTCCGAATGAAGTTGAATGAGATTTATGAAATTATAAGATATTGGAGGGGCATAGCGAGCAATCATCCTAGAGAAATGCAGACATAACATTTACAAACAGCTAGACACCATGATTTCTTCTTTAAAAGTAAAAGATAAATTTCTAAAAGGATAAACAAACACTTACGAGCAAATCATTAGCAGGTTCACTGCGCTTGTTTGACGAGGAGTCAAGGAATAAATCATCAACATCCCTATCTTAAACAGGGAATAATATGTACAGATGCACATATACACCAAGGGTACAAAAGCAAATGCCTGAAATCAAAGAGATCGGGATTCAGGAGGCAAGTTACAAGAAACCGTTGGCAATAATAAACGCAAGAAAGACCACATTACTCCATCAAAGAAGAATTATAGATTTCAAAGCAAAATAAGATGTAAAGTTATAAGCACCTGCACTAGCAATTCATCTGATTTCACATAGCTTATAAGAATTGAGAAGAGGGACAAGTCAAGTTTACTAAGAAGAAGAGTTGCTTCTGCTAAGAGAATCGCAGCTGACATAATCCCCAAAACTACTGCCGCGACCTTCTCAATCTGTTTCTTCAGTATACATCTCCACGCAAATTCTGCCGAGGACAACCAATATGCAAAAGTATTGTGACTAACTTTACATGCAATATAATAACTTTTCAGAAAATTGAAAGCAAATGACTAAATATTGAATATATTTACCAAATGTATCGAGAAGACTCCCTATTTTGCCGCTTCGACTTGCTCTGAAGCTCGACGCATATTTCCTGAAATGGTGCGAGACAAATGTTAATGGTGTTGAAGAATAATCAAAACGTTAAACACAAACAGAGAGAATCGTTAAAACCAAACCATCCGGTAGAACTGCAGCGCTCATAGTTCTTCATTGTATCTTCAAGATTAAGGGCCTCCGTAACATTAGTTAGATACTCACTGCAAACATCCCCCATTGAAACAAAACAACTATCAAATTCGTAGATAAACAGCATGTCTCTAACATAGACAATTGGATGGAATGGTTTTCCTAGTAGAGGTAAGCGCGAAACAGATCAAGACAAAGGCAATAGAAAGATCTCTAAACCTTTTGTATCGATAGTATTCATCCTTAGCATTACGAAGGTGCCGTCTTAGTGTTGCCATTGATTTTTCATCTGTGTCATAGTCCATATCGTTTTCACCCAATTGACCACCTTGTGGCTTAAATGACTTGTCTTTCCTAAACTAGTGTAGATAATAATTTTTAAAATAGGAAAGGTGCATTTTAAGTTCTCAACAAGATAACAATGAAGTATCAGTTACCATTTTATCCAGCATAGCATCGATTACATCCATGTATGGTCTCATCGGATCACGCTTCGACATTTGATTTGATGTCGCTTGAGCAACCTACAAAAGCAATGGGTATATAGTTATAAAAAGTTCGACAGAAGTAAATAATTGGTATCCTTCAGGAAGTACACCGTATAGTCATTTGAAACGCCAACCAGAAGGTTATGTCTTTTAGAGATAGATATATGACATGGGAACAAGATTTAGAGTAAGTTAAATTATTCTTTCAAGAGAAACTTATAGTGAATATACAAGTCCGTTCTATGAACTATCTGCCTTCCATTTTAAATTGAAAGAACAATGTAACTGAGATTAGAGTGTTATGTCGTTATAAAAAAACTCAGTGATATAAGATAAATTTATAGCAGCGAGAACATATGCGCGCGGTGAGAACACAAAACCAAGCAATACTTACTACGATTGCATTTGAAAGTTCTTGATGGGCATTGTCGAGTTTCACAGCAGTTTTGGCAATTTTGTGTGAGAGAACTTTTTGGCGGGTTGTCCAATCTGCATCTTTCCAAAGGGTCTTAGGAATTTCACTCAAGCCAAAGCCGAGAAGAAATGCACCAGTGACCAGCCCAAAAGTATTTGAGCACGCCATAGCATAACCCAAAATGCTACCTTTCCTGCAAACAACATCAAATATTACAACACAAGCCTCAGTTATCTGTCTTGGGCAGACGGTAGCTTCGTCTCACGGGCACAAACTAATGAAGGAATGACATACCAGTTTCTGTGCATCATAATGAGAAGGATGAGACCGAGAAGGCCTATGAATCCTAGTATTAGATAGAAAACTAAGTTGGCATGCACGCTAGTCTTCAATCTCTCTGACACAGTAAAGTCTCCGGCATCTTCATAACCCTGAATAAGAGGCACCACAGCCCTGCTTAGAGGCAACATGGTTTTAAATATTAGAGAGGAGAAGAACCAAAAGATAACCAAGGAAATTAGGAAAATTTCCACTTGTTTAGGGGCAGAGACAGTTTATTAGATTATGAATGGGACATACACTTTGGTAAAGGTAATCTTTTCTACTGGCTACATTTTGGGATTGATAAAAGGAAATTGGCACAGTACTAAACTCCAACAATTAAGAAGATAAAGGCATTGGAATCCATACCAGGTAAGCAGAAACGTACTCCAGTATGACCAACTCCACAAGAAGGAAATGGCACCATTCTCAGGATGGTTAGGTGGCAGAGACAGTGTCTGCGCAACAAAAGAACATGAATGAACCAATCCATTTAATTAGAATGATTCCCTAAGCCAATCAATAGTTTGTCAAGTTCGGTTTAATCTCAGACAAAACAAGAATGAATTTCTAAACATAATTCAATTTCACAAAAATGTTCTTCAAAAGCTCTCAGCCCAATTAAATTCAGAATGCAAAACATGGACGTACAATCGAAAGCAGAGACTGAAATAAACCCAAAAAAGAAGAAGAAGAAGCAAATTTGAGGAACGAAAACGATACCGTCCAGATATCTGCAGGAGCGAGGATGATAACGGAGACGGAGCAAAACCATGTATATCCAACGGTGAGTAAAACATACCGAGGAATCTCCGGTCCGGCGAAATACCGGAGCGTGGAGAAAACTAAGCCTAACGTTAATGGCAACGAGATCAGATAAAACACCCACATTTCTCTTTATCTCTCTCTCCCTCCAAAATGTTACAAAACAGAGTTTTGATCTTCGCAAAGACACAGGACGACGAAAGAACAAAACACCGATCCCACTCTTTTCTGATGAACATGAACACACGCGTGGCATCGACGCGCCGTTGTGAGAGTCAGTTTTTTTTTTGTTCTCTTTTGTCCAAACAAATTACTTTCCCTTTTCATTGGGCCTACAGGCCCAAAAATTTCACTGAGGTTAAATTAAGAAACGCATAAAATTTGGGCCTGTGAAGTAATCTAAACCTATCTGTTGCTACTATATAAAGTTTGCATAAAACCCTAAATTTTCCACCACTTCCGCCGAGAGCTTTATATTTTCCATCTTCTCTTGCAGGCTGTTGTAGTAGCAGTGTCAAATCGGCGACGATGAAGGTTCGTTCATCATTTGCTTTTTGTATATTCTATTCGATTCTATGCGCGTA